TGTAATTGTGGATGAGGGGCTGCTGGACACAGGCTTTGGGACGTAGTCAAAAAAAGAAAGAAAAAACCACTCAACTTAGAAAAATGACCAAGTGAGGTAGCTCGGATCCCTCACCCACTTCCCTTGGTGGGAGCTCCACACAGAACTACGGAGATGAAACAAAAAGCGCAGGGGTCGGAAGACCCTAAAACAGCCGCAGCCAAGCACCGCCTCTTACAGCCTGCTTCCCTGCAGGGTCCACACTTTCTTCCTGGCTCTAACTCTTTGTCCCAAGCCCCGTAGTCTAAGAAGAGGGACCTCATTTCCCACCATACTACCCTGAACATGCCCGATCTCAGCTCAACTCTGCCCACTGCCCCTAGTCTGGGGAGCTGGGACCCATCTCTTAACTCCTGTGCTATGTCTTCTTCCCACCCCACCATCTCACCTGCTGCAGGAGAAGGGAACTCGGCCCTGTCCCCCCTGAACCCCGGCGAGCTTCTAATCGCATTACACAACATCGACACTGTGAAGTGTGACATGAAATCCATCATCAAAGGTGAGTAGCTGCTGAGTCAGCCAGGTGGGATAGGGCGCCTCCTGAATGGAGCAGCTGGGGAAATGTGGGCACCCTCCTGCCCTACTGTAGCTGAGCAGGCTCAGAGGCCCAGCTGGTGGGCCGATTCAGTGCCTGAAGCCTTGAGACTTAGGCCCCAGGGCACTTCCGGACTGAGACTGGAGGGGCAGCTCTGGCTGGCTGCGGAGGGAGCCTCTGTTGTGTCCCTAGCGCTGCTCACCACGAGCAGATTCTCAGCCAGCCTCTCCTAGTGCCTAGCAGGCCTCCTACTGCACCTGCACCGCGACTGGTAAGTATGACATCGAGGAAACAGGCTCCAGAGAAGCTAAGTAACTTGCCCAGGGTCACACAGCCGTTAAGTGGTGTAGTGGAGAATACACAGACTGAAGTCACATGGACCCAAGTTGGAATCTCAGCTCTCCCTGTTTCACACGCACGAAGAGCTTGGGGGCTCAGGACCACTGCTCATGAGGTGGCCTCCCTCCTGCAGCTCTTCACTGCTCTCCACCTGCCCTGTCACCCTCTCTCTCCAAGGAAACGTTTCTCTGATTCATCCTCGGAAGGATGTGAGGGAAGTGGCCTTTGAGGCTTCCTTAGCGAGTTCTTGAAGATGCAGGGTTACTGTCAGGAGAAGGACTCGGGAGGGTCAGGGTCCAGGCCGTGTTCTGACTGAGGAGGAAAGACCTTGGGGTCAGGTGGGAGAGCGCTGGTTCAAGAGCGAGTCTGGTAGCCCAGTGCAGTCAGGGACCCACTCCCAGGACCGCATGCTCACACTGCGTGTGAGTTTTAAGGGGTTCACGGACACCCCGAATGCCCACTCATGGGTCCAACTCTAGATCCTCTGGTCTGCCCAGCCCCTCCATGGTACGTGGAGGGGGAAGGATTTTGCCTCGGGTCACATTGGCAGGCAGCAGCCAGGCCCTGCAGCCCCGTCCTTCCTTACAAGGAACCTACTCATCCAGTCTGTTCTGTGCCCATGGCCAGGCCTGGCTGCTCTACGAACCCCCTCAATTCTTGGTTCCGGGGCCATAAAAGCCCAGGAATTCCCCAGTTCCTAACCAGACGTAGACTTCTTTCTGGGGAGCTCTTCTGTAACTAGATCTCCGCCCCACTTCACTGCTCATCAGTTAAGAAAACAGCCCTTCTGCCAGCCCTGTCCTCGTGGGGCTCCTGGTACACCCATCCCCAGACAGTGATCAGCCAGAGTGTGGGGCATGAAAGAGCTTCCTAGAGGAGGGGCCCGGAGCTGAGCCCACTGAGGGATGAGCTGGCAGGGAGAAGGGAAGATGTCTGCAGCAGGGGTTTGGCCTGGATGTGTGGAGGGCAGGTTACAAGACTAAGGGAAGAGGGAACTGGGGCTGGGGGGCACTCAGATGCCAGAGACCGAGGACCCAGTAATGGCATGATGAGTAGGTGCTTCCTGTCTTTATGGAAGGCTCTCCCTAACACTCGCACCCTCTGCATGCACACTCTCCGTCAGCCCTTTGGTCTAGACACCTAGCCTCCTCCTTGCCTGTCTTCCTTTTATGCTTCCAAACCCCCAGCTTCTCACCCCCACCCCAGTCCTTATAAACACCTCACCCTGCCCCCACTACCCCACAGATCTGTGCCTTACTTCTGCCTCAATAAAGACTTCCTATCCAAGTACTTACCTGGCAAGTTGTGTTTGCGGAAGATGGGGTTTCAGAGCAACTCCTGGGGTCTCCCCATTAGCACAGTGATCAGGGCACATTCCCCACTCCTAGGGACAAACCTCAAGGCCTGCCCTAGCCTGCCTGCCTTCTGGGGGGTGGGGTGCAGTGTGGTAGTGGCCCTTCCAGAACCCCCTCGGTCTTGAGCAGGGCTGCTCATTCGAGGTGCAGGCCTCGTTCTCTCCTTTTCATTCCTGTGTTGCTACATAAGTCTAGACCTAGTGTCCTTCCCCAAGGCAGTCCCTTTACCAGCCTGATTGGTGGTCAGTAGCTGCCTGCCCTCTGTGACTGGGAGGAGAGGGCTGTCCCACCTTGTGCAGCCAGAAAGTCTCCAGGGATTGGCCGTGTCTTCCTAGCCCCGCAACCTTTGGGAAGGTTGCCCTCCAATGAGAAAGGGCCTAAGTCTCCCCACTGCCCCCAGCATGGGACTTTTCCAAGGACTGGGCCAGTGTCCCCTCAGAAAGGGGCCTGTGCTGGATAGAACTCCCCTCATGGATGGACCGTAGTGCTGGGAAGGGCGTGGGCTCCTATCGCTCAGGGCAGAGGGCACAGGCCCACACTCTGCCTCCTTGCAGCCACCAACCTGTGCTTTGCGGAGCGGAATGTGTACACATCGGAGGTGTTGGCCGTGGTGATGCAGCAGCTGATGGAGCAGAGCCCCCTGCCCATGCTGCTCATGAGGACCGTCATCCAGTCCCTGACCATGTATCCCCGCTTGGGGGGCTTTGTCATGAACATCCTGTCCCGCCTCATCATGAAGCAGGTAACCCCCAGCAGGACGAAAGCCAGGAGTACAGCCGAAGGGCTGGGAGAGATACCAGCAAAGGCATGGCTGCCTCTCCACCTGTGCCTGCCAGGACACCTGTGCCGAACGATGGCCCGGTTTGTCAAGAGAAGCAGAGTCGGGGTTTTCAAAAAAATACACTGCAAGAGAAGGCAGACCCCAGGTTCCATGTGACTGCAGACTGGGCACAGGTCCACCTCTGTAACACCCATGTGACCCCAGACAAGTCCCTGTACCTCCCTGGTCCCTGCCTGTGTGACAGCCAGCAAACCACGGTGTCCCTCTGCAGTTGTGAGAATGAATCCTAGAGAGGGCGGCTCCTAGCCTCTCCCTCGCTGTCCTGTGCCCAGCACGCGGGTGGAGAGGAAGCTGGCTGCCATGGTGGCCTCACAGCTGCTCCCTGTTCACCCAGGTGTGGAAATACCCTAAGGTGTGGGAGGGCTTCGTCAAGTGCTGCCAGCGCACCAAGCCGCAGAGCTTCCAGGTCATCCTGCAGCTGCCACCTCAGCAGCTGGGCGCCGTCTTTGACAAGTGCCCCGAGCTCCGTGAGCCCCTGCTGGCCCATGTCCGCTCCTTCACACCCCACCAGGTACCTCAGGGCTCTCAGGGACTGGCACACTGCCACCACTCCTTGGACCTCGGAGGGTGGCACAAGGGAAGGGGGCCTGGTCAGAGCCCCCCACAGCGCCCCATCCTGTCTTTCTGCTGCAGCAAGCACACATCCCCAACTCCACCATGGCTATTCTGGAGGCCAGCGGCAAGCAGGAACCTGAAGCTAAGGAGCCGCCTGCGGGGCCAGTGGAAGAGGTGAGGGTCCTGCAGCCCACCCACTCCATCCCCAAGCAAGAAGATGTTCCTGTTGGGAGTGGGTTGGGGGACCGTCACCCCGATCCCCGTGCTACCGCAGCCACACTCTTCTGCGCCTTGGGCTGCATGCCCTGCGCCCCCACCATCCCACCTACTCACATCTTTACCCACTCCCACCCACAGGACGACCTAGAACCCCTGGTCCTGGCACCAGCCCCAACCCCCCGGCCTCCCCAGGACCTCATTGGCCTGCGGCTGGCCCAGGAAAAGGCCCTAAAACGGCAGCTCGAGGAGGAGCAGAAGCTGAAGCCCGGAGGAGCGGGGGTCTCGGCCTCCAACTCCTCAGCTCCCGCCGCCGTCTCTGCCTCTGCCCGGCCTGGCCCTCTACCTCCCGAGGAAGTCATGGATTTCCGAGAGGAGGGACCTGAGTGCGAGACCCCGTCGATCTTTATCAGCGTGGACGATGACTCGGGCCTGACTGAGGCCGCGCTCCTGGACTCGAGTCTCGAGGGACCCCTGTCTAAGGTAGGGACCCCTGTCTAAGGTAGGGACCCCTGTCTAAGGTAGGGACCCCTGTCTAAGGTAGGGACGGTCACATCGGAGCAGCAGAGGCGGGCACAAGCCAGAGCCCCGTGGAATGTGTGCACACACACGGTTTCCACGCTGACCAGGGGCCCCACTCCCTGTCTTATCACCAGGAGGCAGCAGTGGCGGGCGGGCAGACCTCAAAGGAGGAACGGAGCCCCCAGACCCTTGCTCCTGCTGGAGAAGACGCCGTGAAGACCCCCAGCCCGGCCCCCGAGGAAGTTTCGGAGCCTGAGACCAAAGGAAACAGCTGACGGGACTGGGCGGGGTGGAGCTTTGCCTTTCAGAAAATAAAAAAAAACTTGCTGGCCTGGGGCGTGGGTGCTGTCTCTTCTTTCCGCTGCCTGAGTGCTGCTTGGCTGCTGCGGGAACGAGCAGGACCTCGCGGGCCAATAACTAAACCTCTGGTGCGAGGCGCTGCGCCTGCGCGGAAACCCTACCCCCTAACGGCCCGCCCCCCTACCTGGTCCATAGACTAACTATTAGCACAGTGGCTGCCCCACGTATGCTGCTGGGCGAGTCTCCGGGACTGCCTTCCTGCAAGCAGTCCTTCTAGAAGTCCGTCCCCCTTCAAGTCATGGGGGACCCACCACCGGACCCTGAGCACCCTTTCCAGCAGTCCATGAGCCGGCAAGGTTCTCAGGACGCCGACTCGGATTGGCGGACTGGTGAGGACCCTTGGGTGAACCAGCCCAACTTGACTGAGATGTCTGAGGACTTCCAAGGCCCAGAAGCCCAGGTGGGCGGTTTGGAGTACCCGGTACAGACTGCCGACCCCACCCAGGGCTTCCAGGTCTATCCTTACATGGAAGAAAACCACGGCCAGAGCATGGAGCGCAGGGCCAGCCGGCTGCTACCACAGACGGATCAGAGCCAAGGCACCACCCTCCAGCAGATGGACTTTGCCTATCAGGATCCCCGCTCTGACCTCTTAGGCCAATTCACTTCCTACCAGAGAGAGGACCTACAGCTTGAGGATAGCCAGCACGGGCCCTACATAAGGGATGACCCTGCCCTCCAGTACTCACCCTCCGAGCTGGGCTTCCCCTACGTTATGGAGGTGCCAGAACCCGAGCCGCGGGAGCTAGCCGTGCAGAATGCCAAGGCCTACCTGCTGCAGACCAGTGTCCGATGCGACCTCAGCCTGTGAGAAGGGTCCCCAGGGGGCAGGGCCCAGGCAGGGAGGAGCCTCAAGCTGTGGGGCGGCGGGGTGAGGTGGGAGGGAGATGACACATCTCATGAATCTGAGATGCTCTATGGACTGATTATAAAACTAGGAGTCCAAAGCCCCTGGTTCCAAACGAGATCCTCCCCTAAGTGCCTTAAGTTGAATTTGTAGGTAAAGTCGAAACAGGTACACACATTTCTTATGTAGCCTTACTTTGGTGGTGGTGGTGGCGGTGGTTATGTGCTGTGGAGTTGGTTCAGTTCAGACTCATAGCGACCCTGTACAGGGTTTCCAAGTTTGTAAATCTTTTATGTGAGCAGAAAGCCTCATCTTTCTCCTGCAGAACCGCTGGTAGTTTCGAACTGCTGACCATCAGGTTACCAGCCCAATTCATAATCACTATGCTACGAGGTCCTTTAGGCTTACTTTAGCACATGAAAAAAGGAACACTGGTGGTGCTTTGAGTTAAGCATCGCCTGCTAACTGCAAGGCCCAAACCCAACAGGCACTCCTGGAGAGGAAGATGAGGCTGTCTGCTTGTAAAGATATAGTCTCAGAAACCCTATATTATGATAAATGAGAAAGGACTGAAGCTGTCCAAGACTTCAGTTTGCTTGGCTCCACAACCAACACTCACGGAAGCAGCAGTCAAGAAATCAAACGATGTATTTCATTAGGCAAATCTGCACATGCCCTCTTAAAGTGTTCCAGAACACTTTAAGATAATCAATTTGAGTCCTAAAGTGCACCTGACCCAATCCATAGTATTTTCAATAACCTCATATGCATGTGAAAGTTGGACAATGAATTAAGGAAGACCGTTGAAGAATTGATGCATTTGAGTTATGGTGTTAGAGGAGACTATTGTAAGTATCATGGACTGCCAGAAGAACAAACAAATCTGTGGACTTCTGCAAGTACAAACAGAATGCTCCTTAGAAGCCAAGATGGCCAGACTTTATCTCTCATACTTTGGCCGTATTATCAGGAGGGTAAAGTGGAGGGACAGTGAAGGAGAAGGAGACCCCCAATGAGATGGGTTGGCACCGTGACAGCAGCAGTAGACTTAAGCGTGGCAGCAATTGTGAGGATGGCGCAGAACTGGGCAGTGTTTCATTCTGTTATATGTAGAGTTCCTCAGGGTCGGAACTGACTCCATGGCACCTAAGAACAACGTGAGTTGGACTCAGTGGCAGTGGTCTGGGTTTTCTGGTTTAGTGTAAGTAAAGACTGAAAGCCTTGAAAAGGCTTTCAAAGCTGTCCATGTGGCAAGTGAAGCTAACTGTGATGAAGAATTTGTTTCAAGTAGAGATTGAGTCAATCTTTTCAAAGTGAGGGCAAACTTAACCACTGCTGCAAAGTTGATTCTAATTCAGTGACCCCACAGGACCCCTTAGGGTTTCTGAGACTTAATCTTTTCTTATCGAAGCAGACCGCAGCATCTTTCTCTCCTAAAGCAACTGGTGGGTTTGAACAGCCCACCTTGAACTTTAGAAATACAATGCTTAACTCACTACCCTATCAGGGTTCCTAGTGTAAATTTATATAATATACATAGATGTATGACATAAAGAGCAAGAATGAGTGAGTTGTCTCTAAATGTGATTACTAACAATAGTTAATATTGACTTAACCAAACATTGTACCAAAGACTTCACACATTAATATCTGCCCCCAGTGCTGAGACTACTCCATCTAGCCCTATTTTACAGAAGAGGAAACTGAAACAGAGGTTAGGTTACATGTCCAAGATCACACAACTAAGGTGTGATCGAGCTAGAATCCCAACTCCAGTGATCTAGTTCTTAAAGTCTTCCCTCAACTTGCTAAGTAAGGCGACTTTAGCTACACTCCCAGTACACCTCTTGGCCCATATTACATCCTCATGAAGCTCATCAGTTAGGGAAAGAATGAAAATCAACATAATTAATGGGGCTAAGGTGGAAATTCTGGTAGCATAGCGGTTACGAACTGGGCTGTGAGCCTTAAGGTCAGCAGTTCAAAACTACCAGCTGTTCCGCTGGAGAAAGATGAGGCTTTCTGCACCTGTAAAGATTTGCAGCCTCAAAAATCCTGTACAGGGTCACTATGAGTCGGAACCGACTCCATGGCACATAACCACCACCATCGCCACCACCAAGGTGGAAATATAGCGGGGCCAGAGGGACAGGGCTATTGTTAGGTGCCATCAAGTCACTTCCAACTCAGGGACACTGTGCACAACAGAACCAAACACTGCCCAGTCCTGCACCAGCCTCCCAATGATCACACTTGAGCTCACTGCTGTTGTCATGGTATCAATCCATCTCGTTGGGGGGTTCTTCTTTTTGGCTGACCCTCCATTTTACCAAAGGAGCTCTGGTAGCATAGTAGTTATAAGTTGGGCTGTTAACCTCAAGGTCAATAGTTTGATGAGGCTTTCTGCTTCCATAAAGATTTACAGCCTTGGAAACCATATACAGGGTTGCTATGAGTCAGAACCGACTCTATGGCACACCACCACCACTTTACCAAGCATGATGTCCTTTTCCAGGAACTGGTCCCTCCTGACAATATATCCAAAGTATGAGAGAGGAAGTCTTACCATTCTTACTTCTAAGAAGCATCTGGCTGTACCTCCAACACAGATTTGTTTGTTCTTCTGACAGCCCACGATCTTTAGCAACATTCTGCTCCAACACTAGCTGAAATGCATCAATTCTTCTATGGTCTTCCATATTCACTGTCCGACTATCACATGCATATGAGGTTATTGAAAATACCATGGCTTGGGTTAGGTGCACCTTAGTCCTCAAACTGACATCTTTGATCTTGAACCCTTTTGAAAGGTGGTCTCAATATAAAGCGCAGCAAGTATAGAGGCTCTAAGGCTCGGTATGCTTGAGGAACAGCGAGGAGGTTAGTGCAGTTGGAACCAAGGGAGCAAGGAGGAGATGAAACTAGAGAAGTACTGGATCTTGCTCAAAACACCCATTCTTCCTCTGCTCAGAACCTTCCATGGCTCCCTAGTGCCCTCAAGAGGAAGTGCAGGCTCCTCACCACAGCCTTCAATGTCCCTGTCCGTCTCCAAATTCCATCTCATCAGTACCTCCTCCTACTTCAGATCCTAGAGTCCAGTCAATATTAACCTCTTGTTTCTTAACAGAACCCAAAGGTGGGGCGCTTCAAGATCCCTTCCTGAAAAAGCCTGGCTTAAGTTGCCACAAGGCTCACCTATTCTGACCCTATCCAACTTCAATGGTGGCTCTCCACCACACCCAACATGCTAACAATGGAGTTTCCACACAGCAAAGAGTCATATACACGTGCTTTGAAATCACACCCACCTGGTTTCAAATCTTGACTGTGCCATCCCTGAGTGGCCTCATGACTTGCAGAGTGGAGACCCTAATGGGCACTCAAGTGCCCAGCATAGTGCATGACTCAGGTGAATGGAAACCATACCATTATCAGTTGGGCCTCTTCTCTCACACCCCTAACACACACTTCAGCCACTGATCATCCATCATGCCAGGCACGTCCCCATCTCAAGACCTGTGCACGTTTCCAATCATACCATCGGCAAACCATGACAGATTTCTTTCTTCTTTGTAATCTTTATACTTTCCCTTTAGTTTTTCATGCCGTACTACACTGGCTGGGACCTCCAGAACAGTGTTAAATAGAACTGGTACAAGTGGGTCACTTCATTCCCATTCTCACAGGGGAAAAGACTCAGTCTTTCACCATTATGTTTGCTTTTGGCATGTGCTTTGGACGGCTGTGGTCACCCTCTATGAGATTACCTACAGTTCTTATCTTGCTGTAAATTGTTTTTAATCAGGAATGGGTATTGAATGTTAGCAAACAATTTGCCTACATCTATCCAAGTAATCTTACCTATCTCTTTGAACATAATACCATGGTAACATCACATTTTTCAATTTCTCTATTGTCCTGGCTTCCTGGTATGTGTCCAACTTAATCATGATGTTTTATCCATTTTTAGAAATGGATGGATTGGATGCTATTTGCTATAATACAAGGTGGCTTCAAGAAGCTTAGGAAAATCTCATTATTTTTCAATTCCATTTTTCCATAAACATCTTGAACATATTTTGTTTAGGATTTTTCTGTATCTATGTTACTAAATAAGTTGGAATATTCCCTTTGCCAAGCGTTCTTGATTCTTGGAATCAAGATCATGTCACCCCAATGAGATGGATTGGCACAGTGGCAGCAACCATGACTCAAATGTAACAATTGTGAGGATGCCATGGGACCGCATACTGTCAAGGGAATTGTGTTGTGAATGGGATCGCTATGAGTAGGAACCAATTTGATGGCACCTAACAACACAACTCTGTTACTATGAATTAGAGTTAATGCAAGGCACCAAACAACTGATGTGACTGTGTGGTTCGTTGTGTGACAAACCCATGAACACCTGGTAAAGTCAGGCCTTGAACCCTTGCAGATGACTCCATAGTTTGCCTTCTTAAGCACCACACCACAGGAAGGAGAGAAGATTTGCCTACACATTTATTAGCCATTCCTAAAACAAGCTCTATTGCATTATCAAGATAATCATTTCCTGTAAAGGTGGATGTTTTGTAACAAAAGGAGGAGAGTGGTTGACTTTGCAGTCCAGGAGTGGAGGTCCCTGGGACCATCAAGTGAGAAGAGAGGAGTGCGGGACCCTACCCAGAGAAGCAGTGATGCCAGAGATGGAGGCAGACACGATGATGTGGACAGATGGAGAGGCTGGGGACTTTAGACTCAGGGAGGGAGTGGGGCTGTGTGCTGATGGCCAGGGGGCAGGCCCGTGGGGTGTACCCTTTGGTTGTTTGATGATGCATGGAGGGGATTGTAATGAAATGAAATATGACAGGATGAACGTAAAGCTGGTGTTCTCCCATGTAAACTCCCATAATTCACAATTTACAAAAAAAAAAAAAAAAAAAAGATCATGTCAGACTCAGAAAATGTCTCAGGACCTGAATATCTGCTGTCCCTTCTGCCTGAAACACAAATAGCTGCATAGCTCGCTCGCCGCACTTCATTCAGATCTCAACTTAAATATTACCTTTCCCTGCCTCCATCCCTATTTATCTCCTATCCCTGAAAGCCCTAACCCCCACCTGCTGTTCTGTTGACTACCATTACCTGGTGTGGCCTGTGGGTTAATGCACCAGACTGCAAAGCCCTTTGAACTGTAAGGTCAGCAGTTCATTCGAGCTCACCAGCTGCTCCTCAGAAACCCTATACAGGGTCGCTATAGGTGGGTATCAACTTGATGGTACTTAACAACAACAACAACATCACAATAACAGGAATCTCTGGGTGATGCCAAAGGTTAAGCGCTTGGTGACTAACCAAAAGGTTGGCAGTTTGAACCCACCCAGAGGTGCATCGCAAGACTGGCCTGGCAACCTGTTTTGGAAGGGTCATGGCCTTGAAAATCCTGTGGGGATTGGACTTCCATGGCGATTAACAATAGCAATAACCATTCCCTGGTTGTTGTTTGGTACCTTCAAGTCAATTTTTTTTATTCAAAGTGACCCCATATAATGGAGGTCCCTGGGACCGTGAAGGGAGAAGAGCAGAGAGCAGGACCCTACCCAGAGAAGCAGTGATCCCTGAGATGGAGGCAGAGACAATGACATGGGGAGATGGAGCAGCTGGAGACTATAGACACAGAGACGGAGAGGGGTGGTTGAGGGGGGTGGAGGGATGGAGGGACAAGAAGGGTGAGGGGGGTAAGGATTGTAGGATGTACCCTTTGGTTGGTTGATGATGCATGGAGGGGATTGTAACCATGGCAATGAAACAGTATACAATAGGATGAATGTAAAACTAATGTTCTCCCCTATAAACTATCACATAATTCACAATAAAACATTTTTTAAAAAAGTATCAGTTCTACAGTAAAAAAAAAAACACAACAAAGTGACCCCATATGACAGAATAGAAGTGCCCCATAGCATGTTCTAGGCTGTGATCCTAGAGTCCTGGTGTGGTGCTGTAGGATAAGCACTAGATGGCTAACCACAAGGTCAACAGTTCAAACTTACCAGCCACTCCTCCAAAAGCCCAGTCAGGGTCTCTATGAGTCCTAACTGACCCATGGTCATTATAACCTTGACAGGGACATCACCACATCTCTCTCCCATGAACCTCAGGGTGGGTTCTGACCACCAACTCTTCTATTAACAGCTAAGCTCTTATCTGTTTCCCAACTAGGACTCATTCCCTGAAAGACTTATTTGATAAATGTCCATCTCCCCCATCAGAATGTCAGCTTCACCAGGGCAAAGACTTTCTCTCTTCCCTACTATGTCCCCAGGGCCAGGCACACTGCCCTGAGCCCACTGAGCTGAGGGAGTGATGTCTTCTCTTCTCTCACCCCCTACCTGAGGCAGGTATGAGCACCTGGTGAACCTGCTGACCAAGCTTTTGAACCAGCGCCCCGAGGACCCCCTGTCCATCCTGGAGTCGCTGAACCGCACCACGCAATGGGAGTGGTTCCACCCCAAGCTGGACATGCTAAGAGATGACCCTGAAATGCAGCCCACCTACGAGATGGCAGAAAAGCAGAAGGCACTGTTCATCCGGAGCAGTGCTGGCGGGGAGGGCGATCAGGAGATAGAGGAGGAGGTGGTGAGTGCAAAAGGGGAGGCTCCCTTATGGTGGGATGGATGCTGCCCCAGGCTTAAGGTGGAGCCTGTGCTGACCAGAAACACTTTTAGTCTGTGCCCGGAAGGAGCAAGACCACAGGGGACTTGACCTCCATGGTTAGGGTTTGTGCTTTCTCAGAATGGTGCTAGGCACCATGTGAAGGTGTGAGGCAGAGGAAAGAGTGGGTTAGCTCTGCATTTTAGAAAGCTGACTCTGGCAACCATGGGGATATAGAGACTTGTTTTTCCCATCAGCCATAAGCCTTTCCTCTAGAAAAAATAACTGGCCTGGCACACCTTTTCTATGAAACTCACATGCTACCTCCTGGATCTCAAAACACTGAAAGGCCCCAGTTTCCCCGTTTGTAAATTGATTCATGCCAAGAACTCTTCTACTCATGGTTTATTAACATTCTACCACCCTCAGAATATACCAGGCGGCTGCAAAAAGTTAGTGTAAAAATGGAATAAAAAGATAATGGAATTTTTTTTCATGAACTTTTTGAAAGCTCCTCGTATATATAGTTCCATGATCCCAGAAATGAGCAAATCCTTAAAAATTGACATTATTTCTTCACTCGTTCAACAAATTTTTATTGAGGATTCTGTTTATAGTAGTAACAAGACTTCAAAAAGTGCGTGGAAACCTCCCATTCTCTTTTCATTCCATTATCCCCCCTCGTACACCTCCTAAGCCCCTGACATTATCTGGTTTCACCCCTAAACCAACCCAGTGAGGCAAGTACTATTTACCTACCATAACTAAAGAAAATCCACTGCCATTGGACAGATTCCGATCACAGCCATCCTGCCTGGGGAGTCCAAGGCTGTAAGTCTTAATGTGAGCAGAAAGCCTCATCTAACTCCTGTGGAGTAGCTGGTGGGCATGAACTGCTGACCTTGTGGTTAGCAATCTGGCGCTTAGCCTGCAGCACCACCTCTGCCCATTTTATGGAGGAAGGAACTGAAGCTCAGAGGGCGTAAAGCTAGGAAGTGAGAGAGACAAGCCTAGTGGACCAAGACCAGGACCGGCAAAACCTCGCTATAGCCTCTACCCTACATGCAGGTGCTATGGGCCCATGCTTGCTGCTATGCTGCTGAGCTTGTAGGGTCTTGAGATGGGGATGTGCCTGGCATAATAGATGAAAAGTGACTTTGGGATAGGGGGATGGTGAGGAACATGTTACCAACCTGATCAATGAATAACGCCCTTGGGTGAGCTGAGATTAAGTGAGAATCTAAGTCTTAGGTGGAAAGGACCACGTTTATCTGAGAATACCATTTTCCATAAGGAGCTCTGGTAGCGTAGTGGTTACAAATCGGGCTGTAAACTGCTAGGTCAGCAGTTCGAAACTACCAGCGGTTCCGCTGGAGAAAGATGAGGCTTTCTGCTCCTGTAAAGATTTACAGCCTCGGAAACCCTGTGCTGGGTCGCTATGAGTCGGAACTGACTCCACAGCACTTAACAAAAACAACAACAAACCATTTTCCATTTCAGGCCGTCACCCCCCCATAGAAAGCCCCCACCCTGTTAGAACTGTTGCTGTCCCTCTTCTCTCCCCATTGCCCCATCTAACACAATACTGAAGGCTCTACCTCCTTAGAATGTTTTGTCCCCTAAAATGCCCACCCCTTAGAACACCCCCCCACAAGCCTACCACCTGAACAATGCTACCCCCTCAAAGGCCCTGCCCCTGAGACTGCTTTGTCCCCACCCCTCAAAATGCACACCTCCTTAGAATACCTCCTCCCTGAAAGCCGCCCCCCCTTAGAATCTGTAGCTGGGTTTCTCCATCTAGGGCCTGTGAGTGGACAAAGGTCATGAAGAACACAGGTGCCTGGTCTTTCCTCTGCTCTTCCTTTTTCATCCTTAGGATGGTTGGTCCTTGAAATTGTCACTTCATTTCAAAAAGTGGCTGCTGCAGCACCAGCCATCAAGGCATAGCTTCCCCCAGGGACTTCCTCTCTGTCACTGGCCAAAACTGGTTCTGTGACCACCACTACCACCAGAGGGCGTCTGGGTTCCAGAATGTTTTTGTGCCCTGACGTCTTAAGAATCAGGCTAGCCCGCAGGACCCCAAACTCATTCCCTCTGCCTTTCCACAGACGGAGACACCCGTGCCCAACATCATGGAGAAAGCCTTCTACTTCGAGCAGGCGGGCATCGGCCTGGGCTCTGACGAGAGTTTCCGCATCTTCCTCGCCCTGAAGCAGCTGGTGGAACAGCAACCCATCCTCACCTGCCGCTTCTGGGGCAAGATCCTGGGGCTCAAGCGTAGCTACCTGGTGGCCGAAGTGGAATTCCGGGACGGTGAGGAGGAAAGCGAAGAGGAGCAGCTGTCGGAAATGTTGGATAGCGGTGAGGTCTTGGAGGCACATGGGGAGGAGGAGGGAGAGGAGGACGAAGAGAAAGTGGCCGACCTGATCCCCAAATCCACGTGGAAGCCACCAGCTGTCATTCCCAAGGAGGAGAGCCGCTCAGGAGCCAACAAATACTTGTACTTCGTGTGCAATGAGCCAGGCCGACCCTGGACACGACTGCCCCACGTCACCCCGACCCAAATCGTGCACGCGCGCAAGGTCAAGAAGTTCTTCACCGGCTACTTGGACGCCCCGGTCATCAGCTACCCTCCCTTTCCAGGCAACGAGGCCAATTACTTGCGCGCGCAGATCGCGCGCATCTCGGCCTCCACGCACATCAGTCCACTAGGCTTCTACCAGTTTGGGGAGGAGGAGGGCGATGAGGAGGAGGAAGGTGGTGCGGGCCGTGACTCCTTTGAGGAGAACCCCGACTTCGAGGGCATCCCAGTGCTCGAGCTGGTTGACTCCCTGGCCAACTGGGTGCATCACACACAGCACATCCTGCCGCAGGTGAGGACCGGTCACTGGGGGAGGGGCAGGCCTCGGCTTCTGCGAGTTCAAACCTAGCTGGCTTCCTAATACCATTTCCTAAGAATACTCAGGAGTGTGGCACAGCAGGCGGGAGAACACTGGACCCCAAGGTGGGTTTGAACTTCAAGGTCGGCAGTTCAAATTCACCAGCCATTCCTTCGAAACCTTATACAGAGTCGCTGTGAGTCAGAACCGACTCGACAACACTTAATAGCAACAACAAGACTATGAATGAGGAGTCCTGGTGGCGCAAGAGTTAAGCAGCTAGGCTGCTGACCAAGAACTGGGTGGTTGGAACCCACCAGCTGCTCCTGAGGGAGAAAGATGGAACTGTGGGCTTCAGGAAAGATTACAGCCTTGGAAACCCGATGGGGCTCTTCCACTCTGTTCTAGAGGGTCTCTGTGAGTCAGAATCGACTTGAGGATGGTGAGGTTTTAATCATAATAATGTAGCTTATTCTCTGGAACCCCTGGATGGCCCAAATAATTAAGCACTTGGTAGTTTGCACCTATCCAGAGGTACATCAGAAGAAAGTCCTGGCAGTGTGCTTCCAAAAGGAAAATCCAATGGAACACAATTCTACTCTGCACACATGGGGTCACCAAGAGTCTGGATGGACAGTCAGGCAACTCAACAACAACAACTGTGGTAAATAGTATTCAAATCAACATTCATTCATTTAACAGATAATTGATGGTCCCCTGCTAGAAACTTTAGGAGTTCAGTATTTTTCAGATTTTAAAGAAGGTGGCAAGGTGCAATTGCCCCACAGGATTTGCAAGATTGTAATATTTATGGAAGCAAATTAGACACATCTTTCTCCTTCAGAGTGGTTGATGAGTTTTGGACCACCAATCTTTTGGTTAGCAGGCAGTGCTTAGTCACAATACCACCAGGGGCTCCTCCACACATTATAGAATGTGTAGCATCCCAAGCAGGGGGATGGAGCAACAAACTGCATTCAAGTGCATTATATTATTCTTGTTACAAAACTTATTCGGAGTCCTGGTGTAGTGTTATAGGATAAGCACTGGACTACTAATCACAAGGCCTGTGGTTCAAACCCACCAGTCATTCCTTGGAAACCCTAGGTAGGGTCACTATGAATTGGAACGGACTCAGCAACATTTAACAACATCAGCACCAGAGCTTATGAATAGCCTCTGATTAGTTCAGCTTCAGGGCACTGCCAAATGAATTTATGAAAAAAAATAATAATAAAAGCAAAAAACACTTTTGGTTTTCAAAGCTTTTTGGGTTTTGGAATTATGGATAAGAGATTGAGGACTGAGATTTATTGAGTACTTACTATGTGATGCTGTGGGTTAACGCGCCAGACTGCAAAGCCGTTTGAACTGCAAGGTTGGCGGTTCAAGCTCACCAGCTGCTTCCCGAAAACCCTATACAGGGTTGCTGTGGGTTGGAACCAACTTGACAGCACTTCACAACAATAACAACTATGTAACTAAACTCTTATTTTGTTAATTTATTCATTCTATACCGCTCCTAGGAATTGTGGTATAGCGCTGTGGGCTAATACGCCAGACTGCTAAGTTAAAGTTGTTTCAATGGCAGGGTTGGCAGTTCAAGCTCTCCAACTTCTCCTTGGAAACCCTATACAGGGTTGCTATGAATCGGAATCGACTTGATGGCACTTAACAACAACAACAACATACAGCTCCTACTGAACACTCTTCTTTCAATAATCATGTACTGACTTTTCAATGTCCTGTTGAGAAATAGATACAGATATGATTCCCATTCACTAGGCAAGCATTCATTCATTCATCCATCTATCCATTAATTCACTCAACACATTTATGGACTCTTCGGTAGCTCCTGTAACCCACCAACAATCCAATAGGAAGAATTCATGATATCTCTATCCCACAGATGAGCAAGCCAAGGACCAGATGGGCTGCCAAATGTCAAGTCCACAAGGACAAGAATTTGGGATATCTTTTGTCAAGGACTTATCTCTAGCATCTAGGCTTATGCCTACCTATATAGTCTAAGATTCATATTTCGTATATTCCAGTTTTGATTATTAATGGATGTTTACAGCTGTTTCTCCTCATTTTGAGTTGTGCCCCAACCGCAAATGAAGGTGCCAAAAGCTTTCCTCAATTTGTGTCATCACGGTCAACTCTACTTTGAGGACGCAGCTTTTCCCAGCTGTATTTTGAGTGCCTTCCAACCTAAGGGGCTCATCTTACAGCACTATATCTGACAGTAGTCTGATACTATGAATAATGTTTCAATATTCAATATTATGTTGCTATCTGACAGTGTTCTACAGCTATTCATAAGGTTTACAGTAGCTGAACATTCAGTAGTCCGTCTCTTCTTCTTTCTAGTCTGTCTTAGTCCAGAAGCTCAGCTGAAACCTGTCCACCATGGGTATACCCTGCTGATATTTAAAATAGTGGTGGAATGGCTTCTAGGACAATAGTAACCGACAAGCCACCAAATTACAACAAATTGACAGACGAGTGGTGAAGCGGAATGAATGAAGTATGAATCTAGGAAAATTTAAAGTTGACACAAATGATTTGGAATGCATAAATCGGTATCTTAGGCATTAGTAAGCTGAACTAGACTGATATTGGACATTTTGAAACTGACAATCATATTGTTTACTATATTGGGAATGACAAATTGATGAGAAATGGTGTCATGTTTGTCATCAAAAAGAACATTTCGAGATCTGTCTTGAAGTATAATGCTCTCTGTGATATGATAATATTCATATGCCTACAAGAAAGCCCAAGGAGCTCTGGTAGCATAGTGGTTATGAATCGAGCT